ATAAGACTATTTCTCAGGATAGGTTGATATTTCTTAGCAAAACCCTCGTGTAAGGATATAGATTGCTACCGAGTGAGAACTCCAGTTTAACAGAATCTTTCCTAAGTCCTCTTAATGGAGAATTTGTTCAACAGTATCTCCTTCAGATAATATATTTATGTAGTATCTTTATTATCTCAAAGCTGAGCAGTTAAATATTCTTTTAAAAGATTTATTTATTTATTTTATATGTAGTGTTTCTGTCTGCTTGCATGCCTGCAGGCCAGAGGAGAGACCAGATCTCACTATAGATGGTTGTGAGCCACCATGTGGTTGTTGGGAATTGAACTCAGAACCTCTGGAATAACAGTCAGTGTTCTTAACCTCTGAGCCATCTCTCAAGCCCCACAGCTGCATATTCTTAATAAATCAACTTTTTTCTTTTATACAGGGTCTCATGTAGTCCAGGATGGCCTCAAACTCCCTTTGTAGTGAAAGATAACTTGAATTCCTTATCCTCCTATGCCTACCTCCCAAGTACTAGGATTACAGACATGCGCCGCCATGCTTACTTTATGCATTGCTGGGGATGAAACCCAAGGCTTCATGGATGTAGGCAGGCAAGCATTGCCAGCCAACTGACCTTTATCTACAGACCTAAAATTGTGACTTCTTTTTCAAACTTTTTTACTGTCAACTTCAGTACGTGTACCCACACATATTATAAGCACCTTATATATAGTTATCCTATTATACAAGCAGATATCTAGTAAAGAGCAATTGCTGGTTGCTAGAGGTGCAAAATGATAGCTAGGATACAAACTAAGAAATACTGTCATGACTCTGAATTTACTCATGCATATGCCAGCACATGGCATGGCAGTTCACGGTAGGCAAGCAGTTGGTTTGTCCTGCTATTACTATTTATTAAAACCTCCCTTGAACCAATAGCAAAGAGGTAGTTGTTTTGTCATTGTGTTGAATACTTTTTTAAATTAAAATTAGAAACAAGATTGTTTTACCTGTCAATCCCAGTTCCCTCTCCCTCCTTTCCTCCAATGCCCCTCCCCCCCCCCGCAACTGACACCCTCACTATCCCATACCCTTTCTGCTCCCCAGGGAGGGTGAGGCCTTCCATAGGGGGTCTTCAGAGTCTGTCATTTCCTTTGGGATAGGGCCTGGGCCCACCCCCATGTGACTAGACTCAGGGAGTATCCCTCTATGTGAAATGGGCTCCCAAAGTCCATTCCTATGTTAGGGATAAGTACTGATCTACTACAAGAGGCCCCATAGATTTCTGAGGCCTCCTCACTGACACCCACGTTCCTGGGGTCTGGATCAGTCCCATGCTGGTTTCCCAGCTATCAGTCTGGGGACCAAGAGCTCCCCCTTGTTCAGGTCTTCAGGTCAGCTGTTCATGTTGAACACTTCTTGACTGTGACTGCTCCCAAAGTAATCAACATATATAAAATTTTAGGCAATAAGAAAAACATTATTAAGACAATCTTACATCATATGAACATATAGTTAAAGAGAAAGCAGGTTAAATATGGGGATACAAGTTCCTCCTTGTGTATGTATAGATGTCACACACACACACACACACGTATGTCCATACCCCCAGCTCTGTGACAATGCTTAATACTTCTTTCCTCCAAACTTTGTGAGTATGCTATGGGGGGTTTTCTGAGTTATGTGTAATTTTGGTGAGATTATTATTATCTGGATTCATAAAATCTCTATACTGGAGCCATAAGCTTCCATTTGAGGGAAGAGATAGGGCTTTACTTACAATTCCAGCTCTACTAACTCCCATAAAACTTACAGGAAGCTTATAAAAATCATGGACCTCTGCCATTATTCTCAAATGACCCATGGATATCTAATATGAAATTGTCATTAAAAAAAACAAAATAAAAATCTCCAGATTTTTTGATGGTATTAGAAAATATTCACATAATATTTCCATATCCAGTCCATTATAAGAATAATTTTAAATGTGGGAAGCTCGGTTTTTTGAAGAAACTATTAAGTCCCTGCCTGACTAGCTGGCAAAGTATGAAAGGTCACAAGCAAGGAAAAGGCAATTCTTTTTTTAAAAGGAAGGAGAGTGAGAGAGGCAGAGAGACAGATGGGGGAGAGAGAGGAGGAAAGAAGGAAGGGAAAGAGTTTCAGTGAAATCCCACAGAGAAAATCAGCCCGGGAACAAACTACCAATTGAGAGTCGACTCAGAACCCAACATCATCCATTTAGCTGCTAAGAAGCTTCTATCTCTGTAGTGAGTGCCGAGCCAGAGAACCAGTGGGCTTTCGGAACAAAACAGGTAAAAAGGACAGAGCGGATAGGTGGCATGACTTAATCAAAAGATCAGCCATTCCTCTTTGCCGTTTCTTTTGAGGTAGGCGATGGGTCAGCTGTCACACTGGCAAGGGTAAGGGACTCTAGTTCCAAAGAATGCTAAGTAGAAGTACTCAGAGGATAACTGATGGGATCAAGATGCATGTTTACTAAGACTTATAAAACTATGCAAAGCCATAGATGTCAAAGATTGTTTTCTCTTCTCTGTACTGCTTTCCCCCTTGTACTCTACTATCTGACCACCTGACAGCCAGGGGCCAACGCTCCAACTGTTGCCAAGTCTGTGTCCATCAAATGAAATATCTATTCCTAAGTGGGATTGGGGAGGAAATTGTGCCAAGATCTCTTTTAAAGGCTTGGTTTTTTTATTATTATACAAAGAAATTTCTTTCCTGTTATAGGAATGTCAGGTATAAGTCAACAATGTAGTAGCAGATATTTAGCACAGGAAGTCTTCCTGGCACCTGGAGTGTAAGGTGCCTTGACATGGTGCCCTCAACAGACTTAACTTTTGAAGACAGGCAAAAGAAATAATCACTATGGTTCATATGAAAATCTGGGGCCTGCTATTCTGGGTGATCACTGTCTGAGCTACTCATGAGGCTTACCAGGCGATCCTCAGCTCTACAAACTGATGAGTGTCAGGTCCTTTAGTTGACAAGCTAGAAGACACTTTAATGAATGCTAGTCTGCTGTACTCAAAGCCAACAGTGTATCATGATGCCTGTGGCAAAATGGATTCTGTAAAAGGAAATCATATGTAACCTTGGGGCTATGTTTACTTTTAAAATGCTTCTAATTATGTTTAATACCAAGCCTATATTAAATATGAATTGCCATGCATTAGCTTTTTGAAAAATCATTTATAAGGAATTGGTGAACATAAAAAAAGAAAATATAGAGAAGAAAAGAGACTTTTTTATTACTGAAGGATAAACAGAAGCCTTCCTTCAGGAAAGTAGATGCTGGGAAATCCTCAAATCTGCATATAATATTCAGGGTTTTCCCAGGCAGTGAAATGCCAAGCTGATGGAGGTTTCATGATTGGCAGTTGATTCAATAGGGGCACATGTAAGGTGATCCACTAGAGAGGGCCAGATATTCCAAAGTATACCTGTGGCCTGGTAAATTATGATCTTTCAATTAAGACCCAGGAAAGAGCTCTAAGAAACCTAGTGGACAGTCCCCTGAAGAGAACAACTTAGTGTCCTGCTATGGGGAAAAAAGGACAACAAAATGTTGGGCACTATCAAGAAAGAGATTAAAAGACAAACAAAATAATTTTCCTTTTACAGAGAACCACAGGACATTTTCATTGGTAATGTTACATAAGCAGTTCTCATCTGCACATCTCAAGGACAGAACAAAGCCTAAGGGGAACAAAGAAGGGCAATTAAATCATCAGTGACAGACTCAACCATTTTTTCCAGGCTGACAATACAGAGTTATCCGAGGGACATGGTGAAGATTGTGAAGAGGCTGAATGACTGCAGGATGACTTGCTTTACTAGGTCTCTTGAGCTAAGAGGCACCTTTGAAGTTTTTATTCCTCATAGTTCTACTCTGTTTACACAACTGCCAGTGATGGTGGCCAGTGCAAGCAGGCTCCTCTGGGAAGTCCCTGGTTTCCACAAGCAATTGGGAGAAATGTGAGCTGGGTGGGGGTAGGGACTAAAAGTGTTTCCACCCGAACTGCTCACTTTCAGTGGGTTTGACTAGTGGATTTCTAGTCACATTTACCTTGTCCATTGCCACCATCTGCAGTGAAAGTGTCCCTGACCAAACTAATTTTTATGAATATGAGTTTAACCTCTCTCTATTCTGTGGGACTCTCAACCCCAATCAATGGTCTACAAATCAAACTGTCTGCCTATCTATGTGTATGATAGTAACTTGATTCTTAACTATAGGTTAAAAAGAAATTTGGGCGGGGGAGGAATGTAGCTTAGTATATACAAATCCCTGGATTCTATCTCCAGCACAGAAACATTTCCTCCTCTATAATTCCCCTTGCTCTTTCTCAGGTTCCTGACTACACTTTTAATAGTGTGTATAGGTAGAACACAATAATGAATGGTAAATAATTAACGTCAACTCTAATATTCATGCAGTGGAGAAAAGCACATCTCTATGAGAAAAAAACTGAAACATACCCTGTCGGGCTAATGAAACGACACACATGCAAGAAAGTACCAGTGAAGATATTCCCCAGGACAGTCTAGAAGCTTTTATTCTGGGATGGTATTTATCATACTGTATAACAGGTTAGGTCAAACCTCTTGTCTCTGGTTCAATTGTTTAGTGCTTTCTAACAGGGGATGTTTACCAGGTTAAAGAAGCATAGTAAGTAGTATCTAAAAGCTATGTGAGCCTGCATGGTGGCACAGGTCTTTAGTCCCAGCTCTTTGAAGGCAGAGGCAGGCAGATCTCTGTGAGTTCAAGGCCAGTCTGGTCTACATAGAAGATTCCAGGACTGCCAGGGTTACATAGAGAAACTCTGTCTCTAAATAAAAAAATAAGAAAAGAAAAAGTAAAAGGTATGTGAGAATACAATGGTTTCATTTTCCAATTGTTCCTTGAAAACAAGAATTGTGAGACTGAAAAACATTGCACCTTTCAGAGATCCAATATACCTGAAACTAGCTCAGTGTTACTTCTATACCTTTCACAGATGTGATAGTACTTCTCATCCTGTATGCCATCCTGAATGGGCACATTGACACTGTAGTACCGTCCCTTTCCCAGGCCAACATCAGACATGTCACCTGTTCCTGTAAAAGACAAGAACGCTATGATCAGTCATCAGGAACACAAGCACTAGAAAACACAAAGGACTGTCCAAGAGTAATTTAGAATAGCAAAATGGTCAGTTAGGACAATTCTAAATTCTTGGTTGTTCCTGAGGAGATGAAACTATGAAAATAATCTAGAGGAATACTAATTACAAACAATGTTGTGGGAAGAGGAAAATAAGAAGGAAACTGAGAAATATTAATTTATATCTTACTGGATGAAATAAAATAATAAGAGCTAATATCACATGTCATTTGTAGTTATCAGAGTTACATGTGGTATATGATAAAATAATAAGTGGTCTGTCTGTTGACAGGCCATAAAATTACCTGGAATTAAACTATTCATCGTCATTCCCTTTGTCATTGTCACTTAAGGTGATATGAGTTAAAATTTTGCATAGAATAGCACAAATAAGGTGTTAACAGCATGGAAATACATAAAAATAAGATATAAGAAACATGTAAAAGGGGCTGGAGAGATGGTTCGGCCATTAAAGGCTAGGCTCACAACGAAAAATATAAGAAACACGTAAAAGAATTGTAGTATTAGACATGTAATATAATGAGGAGCATGCAGTTGACTTGCCTGGAAAAAATCCTGGGGAGAATTTGTGCAGGGACACAGTCATAACTTTGGATGTAAAACTGAAGGCATCTTGAACACCTACCAGAGAGAAAAGTCAGAAGGATCACTTCAGATATGCAACTCCTGTTTTCAACACCTGAAAATGTAACAAGTATCTACGGGAAGAAGGTGAGAGGAGAAGGCAGCTGTAATAGATAATGAGTGGAAAAATAAAAGAACACAAACTGCTGGTTTCTGATTTCAGTAATTACAGATGAGGTAGAACATCCCAATTCATGGCAAACAGTAACTGAGCTTCTCCTTTCCAAGCAACAGGACGCCCAAATTCACGCTAATTTCTATTCTAAATGGTATGAAAGAGCAAGAGCCCAGAAGTGAGGCTCTATCCACAGTACTAAGTATAGAAAAGTGGCACCAGCCAGGCAGGTTCATGGCCTGTTTTGTTTAAATGTTTCTAGTTAAATCCTTTCAAATATAACCAATAAATCAGTGCCTCTTTATAATACAGATTTGGTTATAAAAGTGGGTAACCAAGAGTCCCATGGGAACTAAGTAACTTACATCTTTCTTCTGAAAAAAAAAAATAGTCATGGCCCTGTCCCTTAACAGCTCCTGTACAGGAAGATGTTGCATTCTGTTTATTTATTTACTAAAACAAATGTTTGTATTTTGGAACTGCTTAAAGGAAGTGAGAGAAATACAATTAAATTCTTGAAACCCAGGATAGTAATAAAACTTTAAAGGAGCTTGCTGCTCGCCAACTTCAAACTGGTTTGGTGTGTGCCCAGAGTAGGGGGCACCTTCAGTTGTTAATAGCAGCTTTAAAACCGTTTTAAAGCCTGGAGGAAGATGGAGGGGGGAGCTTTTGTAGACAGATGTCTCCTTTCCTCTTAAACATAAAATGAGGATGCCTGGGAGATAAAAGCTTAGATTCAAAGTAACCCTCAAAAGCCACTACTTGTGTGTTGGCCATGCTGCCCCTTTCCTCCTGGGATCTCAGTCATACTGAGACACTCTGAAATGGAAGGACTATTAGCAAATCCAGGTACTGTGCGCCTTTATATTACAAACAAAGATATTGTCTCTGTGTTGACTTAAATGTATTTAAGTCTTTATTAGAGGCCAACAGAGACCTTAAAAAATATGAACTCTATTTGTATATAACAGGTATGTTTGAATTTCCCAAGCCTTGTGTTTTGCCCTGGGGAGGTAGTTAAAGCCAGTTAAAGACTCCAGGCAGAAAGCATTAAGTAAACAAAATAAAATAAATGAAAACACCATTTCAACAGAGGTAGAAGTACTAAACAAGGGCACTTTATGAAAATGCTAATGATTTATCCACCCAGAAATGTAGCAATTTACATTTCTACCAATCCTGTATGCAAATTCCTGTTTTCTCCTGTGATGACTAATGCTAGCAGTTATTTCTTTTAACTCTTAAGCAAACGAATTAGTATTAGGGCATTGGGCACCATTTCATGTGTTCAGTGGCCATTTGTATCTTGTATCACAGTAAATGCTATCAAGCATGGTTTTTAAAAATCAGACTTTGAAAAGGACATAGAGAGGCAGGGGATGTGGTGTCAGTATGAAAGAGTAGGGAGGGGTGGTAGGGAAAGGTGAGGGTGGGTAGGAGTGGCTAGTGAAGCCACCACGGGATGCTAGTGGTAGAGTCATGGGAGATTTAAAATCAAGCAAACATGTAAGGGTTTGGGGATAGGGCAAAGATCACAGGAAGGGAGGTGCTGAAGAGGGGAAATAAAGTGAAATGAAACACACCATAAAAGTTGGCTGAAACAGGAAACTCTAAATGGTGTAGAAACAGCACTGCAAATGGAAAGAATGGTTTCAGGTGACAGTATTAATTCTTTCTTACATGTTTGGCAGAGTTGGTTCTATTGTTGAACTCTGGTACTAATACTCTGAATTTCATAAGCATTTGTTAATTCATAAAACAAACAGTTTACTGAGTTGCTACTATATGTACAGTACTGACAGAAAGAAGTAAACAACTTAATCTCTGCTCTGGGAGAACTTACTGTGTCTGGGGGTAGAAAAGAGATAGATGTATCTTTAAATGAATAGTACAAAACAATACAACATAAAACAGTGTTTGGTGATATAAACATGCTAGGATTTAGTACACAAAAGTACTCTTGGGCTGGAGTGGTCTGGATAACCCACCACTGATAGAGCCTGAATGAATAGGTAGAATGTAGGGCTTCAGTAAGGGAGGAGGTGGCTAAACTAGGGAAAGGGGAAGCAAAGTAAATGAGGTGGGATATTAGGGAAACATATCTGGAACAGTGAGCCATGCTCAGTGAGTAAAAAAACAGTGACAGATGGTTAGAAAGATGAGGTAAGGCCTATTTGAGGCCTTAAAAGGTGAGCTAAAAGAAAGTCTACTTTTTCAAACCTGGTGGTGGTGGCGCACACCTTTAATCCCAGTGCTAGGGAGGCAGAGGCAGGCAGATCTCTTTGAGTTCAAGGCCAGCCTGGGCCACACAGCAAGTTCCAGGACAGCCAGGACTACACAGAGAAACCTTGTCTCAAAAAAACAAAACAAAAGAAAAGAAGGGAGGAAGGGAGGGAGACAGAGAGACAGAGAGAGAAAGGAAGGAAGGAAGGAAGGAAGGAAGGAAGGAAGGAAGGAAGAAGAAAGGAAGAAAGGTCTACTTTCCCATAAGAACATGGTTTCAAAACTGAAGTGTTTTTACAGTGGAGACTACATGACTGACTACTTAGTCTGAGTATCTGATACCTGTGGCACAGTAATCTGCACTTAAACACCCCCAGGTCACCAAGATGCACAATCATCTATGGGAACCATTTCTCTAGGCTAGGAGTTATCAAAGTACACGAGGCTAGACAGTAAACATCCTAGGCGTCCTTAACTACTTATGGCCTCTGCACACATTTATATACACATCCACATATGGATATGCTAGTTCCAGGGCAGCCTCCAAAACCACAGAGAAACCCTGTCTCGAACCCCCCCAAAAAACCCCAAAAAACAAAAAAATAAAAATAAAAACCCACCAGGTAGGTGATGGCATATGCCTTTAATCCCAATACTCAGAGGCAGAAGCAAGCAGATCTCTGAGTTCAAAGCCAGCCTGGTCTACAGAGTGAGTTCTAGAGCTACATAATGAGACCCTGTCTCAAAAAAAAAAAAAGAAAAGAAAAGAAAAGAAAATGAAAATGAAAATCTATTCTTAGCTCACTGGTCATATAAAAACAAGCCATTGAGACATGTTGCTCCTTGAAATGGGTGATGAAGAGGCTATGAACATTTTAAATCAAGGTTGTGTTCTGCCCTGGCAAGTAGTCAGAAATTCAGGGGGCATGGTTCTCAATGTGTGTGATGTTTGTTTTAACCCCTTTCTGTTATTTTTCTAGCAATGTACTCCTATTCCAAGATTATATCACAAAGAAAATGATCACTCCATGAGCTAGCAGCCTATTGGTAAAAACTCCAAAATGTTCTACCTTGAGTAAAACTGATGAGAAGACAGAAGGCCATTACCTCTAACCCACGAGTTTCCCTAAAACCCATTCAAGGCCCCAAAAGTGATTCCTGTACATTGGAGTAAACATGAGCAACATTTCCCCATTCTTCCATCCTCCACTATAAAGTTTAGCTTCAGGAGACAGGAGAGAGGAAATGGCAGGAGCCTGCCCAGCTTGGGCAGCAGAAAGGAACTGCCTTAGTCAGAGGAATCTATGCACCATCTACTCCAGAAATGACAATTAGGAAAATTTCAATTGCATGAGGCATTTCTCCTTTTATTATTTGCCTAGAAGTAGCTTTAGTGATCAAAACCTGCTGTCCTAGTATGGAAGTATCTTTGAAACTGAAGGGCTTACCATCTCCATGGTGCAGATCCAAATCCACATAGAGAATACGGTCAAATTTCCGTCGCAATCTTAATATTCCCAGGACAGCATCATTGAGATAACAAAAACCAGATGCTTCGTCTCTGCAACAAAACAAGTTGCTACAGCCAACAACTGAAAACCAGTCCAAGGGAGTCTTTACAGCCAAGCATCTAACCTTTGAGATCTAGTCCCACAAAGTCCTTCTTCTTTTAAGAAAAACGAAAATTCACCTATATGGATTATATAGTAAATGGCCCAGATTAATCAGAAAATTAAATATTTCAATAAAGTAAATATTCAGAATGATTGGTAATGTTTTCCTACTCACAATCCCACTGGTATCAAAAGCATTAGATTACTATAAGTATATTGAATAAAGACAACTTTTCTCTGACAATTAGGGGACCATTAACAAAACCAACCTTTTAGCCCCCTGGGGTCATAACGATAACTGCTGATTTTTCACTTGTAGCTCTCTAAGGAAGCTGAGACCTCAGTGGGGCCTTAAAGGCAATTTTTACAGAAGATAGAGATTGGGTTCTTTGTACAGACTGTTTGATATACCCCACAAGTTGTTTTTTTTTTAAATTTTAATATGCCTTGGCACTAATTACTCATGAAAACTGAGTGTAAAACAGACAAATGTATAACCCTTTGGGCACATAAATGTGTTTGCCTTTCCCTGAATGTAATTTTAAAACGAGTAGTGAAGATAACTTTGCTAAAGGTATTTTGTTTCACAAAAACCATTGTCACTGACTTCACTGAAACCCTGTAACTTTTTGTATTGGTGCTGTCACTTCATCCTCTTACCAACATTCACTTGCTCTTTTATTACACTTTTATTGAGCCTTGCTGATTTAGATATAAAAGAACACTATTTATCAAAAGTGTATTAGAACTTAGAACTTATTTTAAGGGCTCATTCCAAGTGCCACAGTTTCTTTTGCTTCCATAGATACTTCAAATATCCAGCAACGTTCTGTTTCCCATGAGATTTTATTTGAAACAAAATTCTAGGCATGGACATTTGAAATGGTATCATTGCTACTGTGAGAAACCTTTCTAGTGTCTACATAATGTAGAAAACTTCATGAAATCTCTTTCCAGTGAGATCCCACACTCTAAACCATGTTCTGGTTCCCAAGCTGAATTGATGAAGACAGGTACAATGATGAGCAGCAAGCTGGTAAAAAAAAAATTACTGGACACAGCCCGTGCTTCAGTGAGGGAACACAGCAATTGTCCTAGCTAAATGGCTTGTCCTTATGTATACAACAGGGAAGAAACCAAGGAGAGAAAGGATGAGTTCAACCACAAATTCTCTGAGAATTAAACGAGTAGCTCTGAGTGTTCTTGCTATTTTTTAGTTCTGAAAGTTTACATTTTATAAATCTTCTGTCTTAATACATAAAAAGAGTTAATGTGTTATCCTAATGAACAACAAATACTTTTGAGATAAACCAGTAAATGCTAGGCAAAAAGAGGAAAGAGATGATGGTCATGAATAACGATACCCTTAATACTGACAATTCTGAAGTTCTTTATTTTCTGTAAAGAATGTGTAATCTTTTCCTACCTTATCAATTATATTATCAAAATCTCATAAAGCAGGCTATGGTGATATACACATGTAATCCCAGCAGTCAGTACGCAGATACAGAATCATAAGTTATATGTAGGCCAGCATGGGTTATACAGCAAAAGCCTGTCTCATAAAACCAAGGGCTGGAGACAAGGCTCAGAGGTAGAGCAATGACTAGCATGTACAAAGCTCTGGCTTTGATTCCCAATGTTAACAACAACAACAAGTAAGCAAGTGCTTAGATTCAGGGAGTTTTGTTTTGTTTTGTTTGGGGGGTTTTTTGGTTGACACTTCCACATCGTAGTCCATCACTGAAGAAAGTCAAGACAGGAACTCAAACAGGGCAGGAACCAGGAGGCAGGAGCTGATGCAGAGGCCATGGGGTGGGGGTGGGGGGTGCTGCTTGCTTTTATTCTCATTGGCTTATAGAAATAAATGCATATTTAGATAAGATTGCTAAAATTCCCACAAAATGAGGAAACTGAACTTTCAAGACTTCCACAGTGCTAAAAAGTAATCTTCAAAAACCTATCGTAGTGCCAGGTGGGGTGGTGCAAGTCTTTAATCTCAGCAAGCAGATCTTTGTGAATTCAAAGCTAGCCTGGTATACATTGCAACTTCCAGGCTACCCAGTACTACATAGTTAGACTATCTTTCTTTAAACTTCCTTTCTATTTATTCTTTGTGGCTTTCATGTCATGCATCTCAATCCCATTCATCTCCCCATCCTTTTGTATCTCCCCTCTGCCCTTGCAATCTACCCCCAAGATAAAATAAAATAAAACTTAAGAGAAAAGGAAAAAGAAAAAAAAAACTCATTGTGGAAGTGTAGTGTGACGCAGTGAGTCACACAGTATACTCTTTAGTCCATATATTGTTACTTGCAAATGTTCATTGCAAAGAGTCATTGGTCTGCTTTGAGGCCTCTGGTTCCTGCTACACCATGGTTACTGAATCCTCACTGGGGCTCCTCTCGGACATCCTGTTTTTGCCTGGTGTTGTGGAGATTCCTGCAGCTTTGGGTCTGCAGGATCAGCCCCTTGATGTACCCCTGTATATCATAGATGGGGTGAATGTTGGGGTGGGCCAACTCATAACCCTGGTTCTGGGCCTGGGCAGTTGCAGGGTTGGCCAGTCCACCAGCTCTCTCTCATCCTCACCACCACGGCAAACTCTCCAGCATTGTCCCAGGTAGCTCATCCTATGCAGCAATGAGCAAGGGGGCAGGGGCCAGTTCTGCTTTCACACCCTCAGGGCTGGCTCACTAACACCTATACCAGGGCCACTCTCCTGAGTGATGCAGCTGGCGAAAGGCAGGGTCAGGTCTCCTGCTCTTATGACCTCAGGGACAGCTTTCCTAACTGGCAGTGAAGGGCAGGGTGGGGATGGGGGTAGTCTCTCCCTTGCTACCTTTTGGCAGATAAGGGGTGGGGCCAGATCTCCCAAGCTCACATTCTCAGGCTGGTTTACCCACACCCTGTCAACAGGGTCAGCTGTGTTGTCCAGGCGAGGTGCAGGGACCAGGGTGGAGGGCATCTTTCCCTTGCCCCACCGCATGGCAGATGAAGGGGGCATGGATAGCTATCCCAAATTCACAGGAGGATCAGCCCCCTCATCTGCCACAGGAATGGAGGGTGGATGGGCAAGGGGGACTGTGAGACTCCATCTTTAAAAAAGAAAGACAACTATTTTAAGAATTCAACATCATATAATTTATGTAAATATTTAATAATTAAGGATAATTTAATAATTTACTTACTAAAACCAGTTATATTCTATTTATCAGTTATAGGTATAATATCCAGGAATATTTTTAGTTTACTTAGATATGTTCTTCCTAAACATTTTACAGGCTTATTGATTGAGCAAGCTAACATTACTTTTCCCAAATGCTTAATAGTATGCAAAATGTGCATTTGTTTAACCAAACTGAGCCATTATTATAGCAAACTTTATTTCAACAGTAATTGTGTTTTGTATTCTAACAGCTTAAGATAATTTGTAAGATCTTAAGGTAACTGAAAACTCTGGTTGATGCCTAATTTAATTATTTTGAAGGAAATGTTGAAGCATTAGTGCAGAACCTTGGGCTTATATGCATTGGCTTATTTGTGCATGTGCGTATGAGTGTATGGTACATTCATGTGTTTATGTGTGGTCACGTGCATGTGGTTACACATGTGTGCACTTGCATGTGGAGGTTGGAGGTTGATGCTGGGTGCCTCAGTCTCTCCCTTATTTACTAAAGAAGGGCCTTTTGCACAACTTGGAGCTCATAGATACAGCAAGTCTGGCTAGCCAGCTTGCCCTAGGACTCTTCTGTTACCACCTCCAAGGCACTGGGATTACAGGCAGGCCACTAAGCCTACCTGGCTTTTATATGGGCTGGCAATCCAAACTCTGGTCCTTACGCTTAGACAGTAAGCATTTCATCCACTGAGCCATCTCCCTAGATCTGCTTTTATTTTATTTTTGTAAGTTACAGAAGGCTATAGATAATTATGGTAAAGAATGTGTTCTTTATTGTCACCATAGAGGGAAGTTGTACTATAAAGGATATATATGCATTATAAAGGACACAGAAAGTTATAGAGGGTTCACAAAAGAGCCTTTTATTTGTTTAGGTCAAAGTTGGCTAGACTTTGGTGTGTGATTTATAAAATTTCTGACAAGAACTTTAATTTCAAACATACTGATGAAAAACTAGCTTTGTTATTTCTGTGTTTAAAAGACAAAGAATTTTGGATTCTTAATCTATTCTTAACAGCAAGCTGGGAATGGCTTGCTTACCTTCTGGAAAATCTTAGATAACAAGGATTCTGTGTCTTCTCAGAATTATCTTCCATGGTTTCCTGCCTTCTACTTCCACTGGCCTCACATATGTCAACCAAGCCCTGTTCTTTGGTTATGTTCCCATATTTCTCTATTACTTAAGAAAGCAAACTCTCACTTACGAAGGAGCTAAGGGCTTTAGACTTTACCATCACTTTACTTCTATGCTTATATGGAAAATATTTTACTGTTACTTGGGTAGAACAGAAAGTCAAGCATTATTTTTAACAACCCATCATCCTATCTTAATCAAGTCTCAGAGGTCCAATAGGAAAAAAAAAAACACAAAGGATTTTTGTCTGACCTCATAAAAAGAGAGGCACCAAGACTGTTAGACAGTTAGCTTTGTGTGGTGTTACTATTTCAGCATCACACAGGTAGAGCCATCAAGTCAGAAGTGATGATTTGCCTCTTCTAGGTTAAAATGGCAAAATGTTACCAATATAAATATTTCAGAAACTGTATGCTGTATGAGATCATTCATGTCTCCCCTGGCCATGATATGTTTCTATTTGTCAGAGTTCAGCTTGCTGCTTTGTCAAATGTTAGACAAGTAGAGGACCATAGACCTTACCCATCTGTGAGGACTACATACCAACACCCCTACTGGGTTCCTGAAACCCTGGAAAGTACAAAACGCTTCATATATCATGTATTTATGTATGTATGTATGTATGTATGTAT